AATAAAATTACTGCTTCCAGCCTCTATGTTTTAGAGAAAAATTTGCCGTTCAGACACGACTGGAGGGAGAAGAGTCCTGTGATAAACATTGACCCTGTAACACACAGCCGGGGTGAGGACCAGCAGCACGATCTCTTCCTTTGGCCGCTGCCTGCGAGAGGCAGGACCGGCAGCAGCAGCCCCAGGTGAGCAACGTTGCAGATGCCCGGCTTTCCCACCCCAAAGGCCGTGCCAGCCTTGCCCACGCCCGGCGCGACAGCAGGGCTGCAAGACGGCTCAAAGGAGCTGCCCGTTTCTCTACGAGCAAACCACCCTCCCCCTGGCCATAGCATCCTGCTAGTGCCGCATACTTATCAATCCGAAGTACAAATAAGTGGTTGTTTTCAAACTTTATCAATTGACTCTTTTTCTTCAGTTTAGATTGCTTTTGGATTTCTTTTATTTTTGTCCTGTCTGGCAAGCACGGCTCATTGTTACTCCAGTATCTGATACTGCATCCCCTGAAGCATTCCATTGGCTTGGACCAGGACCCAGCCGGCTGCTTAATACTGATTTTACGATCCTGTTGAATAGCATCCTCCTCTGTTTTGCACATACTTTCGTAATTTTGAATGTGTTTAAGTAAAAAAATAAAACAAATTTTGACAAAGTGCTCAAATAATGCAACCACAAGCTGAAGCTTCACTGAAGGAGCAAAATTCTGACTTCAGAAGACCAATAAAAATAACTGGACTCAGAAACCAGGACAATAATTTCTGGGGTTTAAATATTTTTTTAGATCCCAGCTTAAACTGTTTTTTCTTCCCCAAAATTATATTCTGAAGGAACAGGCCTGATGGCAGAAACTTTTGATTATGCTTGGTAATATCTCTCTCTCGTGTTCTCCTACCAGCTACACCTGTGAAAAAGGAGTACTTCTTTGGCTCTGTGGAAATTGAAAACTATCACAAGACATATTCATGACTCTAATCCTGATAGCTGGTAAGAAATATATGTGTAAGCTTGATTTTCAGTCCTTTCCAAGACACAGTTTTTTAAAAGACCTTGCTGGAAAGCTATCACGAAACTCCAGCTCTCAGCTTTAGATTGAGATCTTCTGCAGCAGCCAAGCGACTTCCCCATTAGCTACTATTATGATAACCTATTAATAATTATTTTCATCTGGAAAACATGTTTATTTGTTGGGGTTTTTTTAATGTTACATTCTACAAAGAAGATAGTTACTGGGATTAATGATTCCATGAGGAAAATATGTAATGCTTACTGAGCCACAAAGCTTTCCCTCTCCAAAATAACTATTTATTTTTTATTTTATCCAATGGACTTCTATGGTGTCAGGCTTTTTTCATCAGATTTATTTCATTAGAGTAACCTAAACTGGTTCATTATACATTAAGAAAACAGGGTACTCTGCATTTTGAAGTGTTTATGAACAGAGGCAGAAAAATAAAGATTTTTTTTTTTTTTTACCAGGTTATCAGGCAAGGGGGGGCTGAGATTGGCTGAAGTTTTAAACAACATTTTTCTTTCAGAAATTACTTACTCGGGCTTATAAGCCAGACGGGCAGGTTTTCCCAGTAGCATTCTCAAACTAGGGTGAGGAATACTAACTCTGGAGCCGAGCCAATTCCAATGTAAATCTGTTTTGTTCAGGAAAGCGAGCCAAATTGCTTTTATACAACATCTCGATGTTTCAGGTGACCTGTGATATTCTCAGCTCCCATTCTGGACGTGAAGAAAACCAAGAGGTTTTGGGGTGGTTTTTTTAAGAATTCTGGATGGCAGGCACCGGCAGAGCAACACGAGACTGCTGCTTGCTGTTAAATACAAAACGAAAGCTGAAGTGCAGTTCAGTTCTTTAAGCTTCGGCCAATATTTGGTTGGTGCGTCTGCTCTGACTGACAGGCAGGATTCAGAACCCTAAATGGCGGGAATCGCTGTGACTGTCTTACAGTCAGCACAGAGCCGCAAATTCACTGAGATGGAAATGTGGACAATAGTCTTACGTTTGAAACAGCCATCAGACTATCTTGCTAGATTTCATTTAAAGTCCACAGAAGAAAATTTAAACTATTTATTAAGAATGTCAGTAATGACAATTTCCTACTCTCTTAGAAGGGAGAGAGGAGTGACTTGCCATCGGCTTGGCAAGGGATTTAATGGGGATGGCTGCACTTGGGTGATAACCAATGCACAAGGAACTGTTACTGGTCAAAGCTGTTCCTTATTCTCCGGCAGGGATTTTAAATCACCTGAGGTGCACAAAGAGTTTCCAGTCTGACCATAACAGATGTGAACTTTCAATCACTGTTCACATAGTACTCCTTGCATTATCACTGGTGGCAACTGAACTTATTCAAACTCAAATATTACACAGCAAACAAAGTTTCGGTTAATTTTCTTCTAGCAAAGTATCAAAGGAAGCAATGCCCTTTGAAGCAGCTACCTTATGCTTTAGGCTTTATACAAATTCAACAGAACAGCACCTCAGAAATCCTGTACCAAATGCAAACAAACCCCACCTTTGGAAAACAATCCCCTGTTCAAGGAGTAAACAGAAGCATACATTAGTCACTCACTCCAAAGATGGGCAGCCAATGGAGGTGATGAGATTTAACCTCGAAGACTGACTAATAGCATGCAGCGTTCCCAAATCACTCCATCGCTTAAAGGATCCCGAGCACCTCGATATCATATGACATGCAAGGTTTATGTCTGTGTGCAAGTGACCGGCTAGTAGCAACCACTTATAGCAGGGTAAGGGGCTCAACGATGCTTCCCACCAAGCTTTTCTTGGTATGAATAGGGACTGTTGTCTCTCAGCCACTGGATTTTGACCTTGAAACTCACACAGTTCACTGTTATGATTTCTAGCTTCATTACCATGGCCAGGAACTGAACTACAGGTTTGTTTTTATTAGCTTCTCCGCCACTTTGCCAGCTATTCATTTGAATCGTCTAAACAGTCATCTCTGAATCATAATGCAAATTCCATTTACTGAAAAGGTGGTACCTTTAATATAACAAATGAACATGTTTAATGACTGATACTTTTAGACATTACAGCATCTCTCATGTTTTCAGTAAATGGATATAATTTTCTCTACATTACCCTATTATTATTCTTTGCTAGCATTACGAAGCTACGTTCTCAGCTGCGGGTGTTTTCCACCAAGTGCATTTTGAAGACAGCCCAAACAACATAATTTAAAAGACATCTCCTTCTGTATCCTCAGCTAAAAATGCTGCAGCATACAGAGGGACTGGATTGGTATTTTATTCTTAAAACGTACTTACTGCTTGCACCTGTGTTTCAGCAGGGTCATGCTCTTCCACAATTGCTGACTGTATTTATATTGGAAGAATATCTACAGATGCATTCCACTTCAAAGGCAAATAAAGGCTGTTGTGTATAATCAGGATAACTTCCTCGGTCTGAAGCCAGACCCGTCTCCCATTTGGAATAAAACATTTTGAGAGCGAGCGAACAGAAGTGGGTCACCTTTGTAACTCTCCTGAAGCATGCTCATAACTCTGTTTGTGTTTGTAAGAACCATGCATACAACCACGCATCAGGAGATGGTTCAGATGTTCACACAGGGAGAGAGGGAGGGAAAAATGGTGAGGAGGGGTCAGCGAGCCCCGAGTACTCAAGCTGATTCAAAGAGACACCATCGCACAAATTGCTCAAGAAGGCAGTATACAGAAACCTACTTAACTGCAGTAAACACTGTCATTTTCTTACTGTTACAGCACTGAATTGTCCCTAAATGTCGCTGCTGTGTTTGGAACACCATAGTGTTACGTTCTGATTTTACTTAAAGACATGACTGAAACAGGAGAAAAATACATAAGCAAGTATCATATGAAGTCACGTGGAAGATGCGACAGCCTCTCAAAGAGAGAGGCTGATCTTTCCTGCAAGCTTTTTCTGAGCAATAGCTCACTGACTTCTCTTCCGTGGGTTTGACTGAACTCCCCGATGCACGCAAAGGGACTCCACTCACAGCAGCAAGGGCAGTAATGCAAGAGGAGTGCTTAAAATAATCTTGTAATAGAAAGGTAAACATGATTGCTTAGAATTTATGGGGTTTAAGATTATGGACCTGAGCCAAAGAGTGAAGTTGGGAAGGGTCCTTCTGTTGATTTTACGGGCTTTTGGATCGAGCTTTGTACACCTGCCCACCCACACGCGATGTGAGCCGCACGTGTCAGGTACTATTTGCAGCTTCCTAACAACATTTTTATTTAGTTCTAGTCTAAATCACCTTCAACCCTTATTTGTTATTTACACTCATAAGGCCTTTTTATTTACATACTAGTAATTACTGGTTGTTACAGAGATACAGCAAGTCAGATATTAAGCTCATCTGTTCTGTTCTGGTCTATCCAATCCACTCTGCAGGAGCACATTAAATAACAGGACTACTGCATATTGTTCTATGTCTATTTCGGGGAAAGAAAGGTCAGAAAAAGTGCCCTGTATCTTCATCAGGTCATGATGAACCCAGAAAATGTCTAGATCTATACAGGAATTACTTGTAATTTTAGGTTGACTCACTCTGTTACAGAGACCAGCTTTTGGACAGAGTGCCTGCGAGCCCCAAGACGGTCATGGGTCTTTATACAAGCTGAAAATGCTGAATTTAAATAGAAAATATGCTATTTAAACTTTAACATGGGTAATACTGTGCTGTTCTAAATTTGACGGGGTGGGTTCCAGAGTCAATATGTGACTTGCTGTCTATGTGATTATTTTTTTTTTTTCCAAATGAGATTTTACAGTTTAAAAAATGAAGTAACACAGAGGACAGGCTAGGATAAAACAAGGAAAACGCATAAAGCTAATTCTGTGTGTTTGGAATCGGGCTACGCCAGATCTTGCACCATTCCCTGCTGCGGAAAACTCCATAGACACCATCTTAAATTTCCCTCCACTTAACCAGAACTTGACATAACTGATGAATGTGACCAAAGAGTAGCTGAGAATAAACACATACCTCTTCCACTTCTACCCACGAATCGGAGGTCGTTGAACCTTGCTACTTGGTTTTTCATGGCAGCAGTGGCGTTTCTGAGTTCTGCAGAGTAGTTTTCATCATTTCCAGCCATCACTGTTACCAGTGTCCCATCAGGCACGTCTCCCAGGGCCACCACCTACGAAATCAAGGAGCAGAAACTTCAGCTTCCTTACGTGACATTTAATTCGGGCCACACAAGATCAACAAGTAACATGATAAAATAGGAAAAAGCGGCAACAGCAAAAATCTATGTAGACTAAGAAGCTGTTTGGGGAAAACAGGAATTGCTTCCATTCTTAGTTTGCAGAGCCACAGGAAAGTTTTTTCATTAATGCATCTCTGAAATGCACAGTGTAATGTGTACTCTGACATGAAAAATACTCAAAATTAGCTTTCCAAAATATACTTCTGTAATAGTCAATAAATAAATTCATGTAACAGTAACCAGTTCTGAACTAATTTACATCAGTAGCGTTACTTTTAAGCTACGGCGGAGTCAACACGAAGAAGGAAATGTAACATTCAAGAGACAACAAAACCAACAAAACAACTATCTCATGGGCAAAGAGGATCAGAGTCCCCCACAGCTGCACCAGTGCCCTACCTTTTCCTCACACCGCTCCGAACAGAGCTGCCCCGGCATAAATTCAGAGTAAGTCCATGGAAAAGCGGGCCTCAACTAAATGTTTGATCACAACTTACTGAACAATTTCTTTTTTTCCTTTAGAAGCACGAAAGCAAATCATTGACTTAAGACTTCGCCGGCAACCTGATGGATGGAAATCATGATCTCAACTAATGAAATCTGCCATCGCTCAGACAAAGGATTTCACCTGGTCTGAAATGTTTGTACTGTAGCTCCTTGGTGCCAGCATCTATCAAACAAATATTTAGGAACACAGGATTCACTCCATTTTTGGTGCAATGTGCCGAGATATATATAGATTTCTAACCTTAAATTTTCTGACTTGTATCTATAATGTTCACACTGCTTAAACGACCAAAAATTTAATTTTATCTTCTCTTCTTGGGCAGGACTGAATTCTCAAAACAATTTCACCCTGCTCCAGTCAAATGGATATCTGGTGTGTGTCCTGACTTACTCCGACAAAAGCAAAAGCTTGAATTATGTTCCTTATCATAGTTCTTTTAGATCCCGTTGCTGTTCCCCCAGTTAAGTCTACAGTAGTGACCTCAGGACTACTACCAAAAAAAAAGAAAAAAGAGAAAAAAGAAATCCAGCTAGTTTTTGTTTCCTCTTTTACATGTTCTAAGAGGAAGTAGTCCTGCATCATGTCCTCTGAGTTGCAGCTCGATATTTTTCCTTCCTCTTAGCCTTTTCTAGCTTATGTCCATGCAGTTACAATTGGCTGAAACTTGTCACGGTCCGGTCTTATTGCTGTGAGTTTCTAATCACACTTGTTCTTTCCAAACAGGATCAGTGATTGCTTTACTTGGTCTGTCTTTGATGTTTATTCCCCAGCCATAGCTACCTCCCATAATACGAGAGAGGTCTCCAGTCTCAGGTATTTCACAGCCTTTCCTTCTGTAGGAGGCTGTGTTTCTCGCTTCAGTTCTCTCCCATTTGTCATGAAAACCCCTTATTTTCACTTCCACATGCAAAGTTAAAATCACTGTGTCAAAATTCCCTCTTTATGTATCTATTTCAACTTCCTCTTTCCCATTCCTCTGCAGCCGAGGCTTTTGGCTTTTTGTTCTCCTCTGTGTGCTGTAATGCATTTCTGTGGCCTGTGCTATGCTCAGCGTTGCACTTTTCGAATTTCCCTGATCTTGGCATGAATTAGTCCCTGCTTGAAACATTTAAGCTAGAAAGTCTTCTCCTTGCACAGCGTCATGTCATGAGGCACGCTGGCTCATAAGATCAGCAGCTGGAAACCCAACGCGCTCACCCAGTTCTTAAAAAGTTACCATAAACCCTTAATGCATGCACGTATATTAAAGGCACAAGAAAGGGAAAGGGGAAAATCGGGACATTACCCTCACCTCCCTGCGATGCAAATGTTTGTATTTTCATTTAAGGAAATATATGCCAGTGTTTTAAAGGATTGAAAAACCTTCATGAATCCAGGGTCAGCTGTCTCTTGCAGGACAAATATTTTAAATTGCTGTTTTCAAATTACACTGAAGGCAACCTCAGTGATAAGACACGAGAACAAAATATTAGAAACAAGTATAAAAATTACACAGCCCAGAAGAGAAAATAGAGTTAAAAGTCACAGACAATAGAAACAGAAATGCAAACATTTACATTAGAAAAAAGACTAAACAGATAAGTTGGGACTCGCTGACTGGAGTTATCTAGTACTTTGTTGTACTCTTTAGCTCTTAAAAATACGTATTTCCTGAGAAGCGAGAAGAGTATTGGAGTTGCAGTGCTGCCAGGTATCTAAATTACCTACTTCTGCCGCATCAATCAAACAAAACTGGCCTTTTAAATTAAGATTTAGATTCTTTCTTAACAGCATTTGGACAATGAATCTATATGGCACCTTATTAGAGTTAATATGTATTATTTTCTAAGTTTCTCAATCATTCTTATTTTAGGGAAAAAAAATGCCTGGAAGTGATCATTTTGGCTTGAAACAATACCGTGATCTGAAAGATCAAACACCGTGAGTGAAGTTTTCTAAGGAAACCTGAAAACTCTCTGTCTCTTTCATTTTATTGGTGCAACGGTTGTTATCAAATACTTGATATAACTCAGCGCTTTTTTGTCTGATGCAAGTAAGATATTGGCAGCACAGGAATGACCTGAACTCTATCTTCTACTTCCCGTTCCAAATAATCTTAAAAATGACAACTTTTAAAAATGTCTTTGCGAACGTTAAATATTTAGTATAAAAACAATGAGATTTGTTTCATACACGGCCAACTATTTCAGGACTCATTTCTTGGCGGTCCGCGGCAGGAGCGTTTTGGTGGGGGCGGACGGGACGAGAAGCACGGAGTGCCCCGGCAAGCAGGTGTCTCTCAGCACAGCGTTTCAGGAGCTCATAAGGAAACCCTCTCCTGGATTATTGGGGGGTGGGGGTGTCTTTTTCTTTTCTTTTCTTTTCTTTTCTTT